CTGATTTCGGTAGGTTTATATAGTGACATTGCTGAGCAAATATAAATATAATAATTGAACAGAATTATTCGGCTCGTGTCAGACATCTACACTCGCTGCATGTGGTGTCTTTCGTTTAGACAAATATTATCTTGGCTGTTTATTCTTGGCATAATTTTCTTCTTGCCTTGTTTCTTCCACTAGTATGTTTCAACTGAGTCACTTGTTACCTATCCTGTACCAATATTTTACCGTTAAACCCAATTAGATTGTATTATATTTGATGGGTTATTGATACTTATTTCATTGGATAAGGGTGAATATAATGTAGAGAATAAAAAAAGTTGTCCTGATAGTATTCAACTGTAAAAAACAAGCATTTTCCTAGTCCTGATCAGTCTACATAATCGTAAATGCAAATTCTGTTTGAAAATATATATTAACACTGAGTAAGGGAGCAGGATTTAGTTTATGCACTCTTTGACATGAATGAATCGCAGAAATATTTGGTCTAATGGTAAACCAATATACTGAAAGCAACGTCAGAGAATGATCAAAAATAGTTTTGGCCGGACGCGTTATACGAAAGTTTCCCGAAATAACGTGACAGGGCGTCAACTCATTGTGATTGTGTTGAAACGACCGATTTAGCATTTAGAACTTTCCTTCCGGCTCTGTTTCACGATGAACTGTACATTATATTGATTTATTTCCAAATCCTACAGAAATATAATATTTCTTTATTTATCCTTGGGCAGTGTGTTTGTGTATCGACTTTCGACTTATAGATCGTTACTGTAGCCCCGCACGCTGACCCTGTTAAATGGTGTGTCAATCTTGCTTGCCATTGCTTGTTTGTACCGTATGATATTAATAATTGAAAAACAAACGCTTGCCTAAGACTTCAGTAGACATCATCAATATTGTATGAATGTTAAATTATTTTTGAATATAGTGTGTATCTTTTTTATGGAATGGGATTAATAGGCCATTTATTAATCGATTATTTCAACAAGGCCTGCAATATACATTTATGAATGTCACAACATGCCCGAACACACATTTATGGCAAACCTATCAGCTTGTAAGGTATTAAGACGATCTATTCAACTACAACAGGGAAACCCGACAAAACGCCTTGGTTAATTAATTATTTACAGCCACTAGCACACAAGGCCAAACAGCAACACGCAGTGTAAATAATAAGATCAATCACAGACTAACAAACTCCACTTGAATATCAATTGTGAAAGTAATGTAAGGCGAATAACCTATAGTCTATAGGAACATCTGGTTGCTATTCGGAATTTATCATCAGTAGCGCCATCTACAGTGTAATAAAGGTAACTACAATGATAATAGATGTCAGGAATTTGTTCGAAATAAATACAACTGTCATAAATTGTCTACCTGAAAATGTTTCATTAAAATGTCCATTACAAGACCGGTATTCCTGTTTGAAAATATTTGAATGTGTATGGAAATTGTGGCCAAACCGGGAGTGTACAAACACACTATCTTCAGATCTTACTTCAACCAGAACACCATTCTGTAATGTAAGGCGAATAACCTATAGTCTATAGGAACATCTTGTTGCTATTCGGAATTTATCAACAGTAGCGCCATCTACAGTGAAATAAAGGTAACTACAATGATAATAGATGTCAGGAATTTGTTCGAAATAAATACAACTGTCATAAATTGTCTACCTGAAAATGTTTCATTAAAATGTCCATTGCAAGACTGGTATTGCTGTTTGAAAATATTTGAATGTGTATGGAAATTGTGGCCAAACCGGGAGTGTACAAACACACTATCTTCAGATCTTACTTCAACCAGAACACCATTCTGTAATGATCTCTAAGATAGGATGTAATTGTATTCTCTTAAATGACACTTCGGTTATTGCAATTTGAGCGAAGCAAAATGTTGTAAATCTGTGAAGAAAAATTGCATTTGAATTGACAGCATGGATATATCTTTGATATCCGGCATACTATAATTTTATAAATAATCGGTAATTCATGTCAACGAATTTTGCACAAATTGTGACATTACAGAAACTTTAGTAATTCATAACAGTGGTGGTATTAAAATATACAATGACATGTGCTAACAGATTGTTTGCTATTATAGTGATTCGAGACCTCGTTCCCACACTGTCCTGATCATAAATAGCAAAATGTGAGACAAAACATCTAATTACATGTCCATATCGCGCTGGTGACATTAGTGGCCTTATTCTTATACTAGTGATAGACACGCATCATTTTTTTTTTTACAAATAACTATTATGTTTCAAATAATTACGACATACTCAAACTGTTGAATAGTTTTCGGTAAATAACGACTGTCCAGTAATAACAATTAATAATCATTAAGCTTTTGTAACAGAAGCTGATTTTACGTTGAGACGCGTACGAGTAAATGATCCCTCTGATAGCCTCGCCATCAACAACTACTTGGATTAAAACGGTTTTACTATCAAACACAATGGAATGTCCGTACTCAAATAAACTACCCACAGTGTATACATTCCATATACAAACCAGACAACTAACAGTGTTGTACCTACAATATGTTACAGTGAGAGAGGTCTGGTTATCAATATCATTTGTCTATCCTCTTTTTTAAAAGTCGTATGAAATTTCAATATAAATTGCGTTCAATAATACTGTTTCCAAAGATATCGGCGACAAAAGGTATCGAACCTTTCTTAGTGTCACTGCATCTGGTGTTTTAAAAGGTATGCTATTCAGAACTACCTTTATATGTAATGTTTAACCCTATACGTCCATGACTGAAGACTTTACCGATAAAACGACTTTAGACTGCTTTAACGTCAGCTAACATCCTCAAGGACGTAAGGCATTACTGTAGAAAGTGTTGGTAACGTTATTTAGTATTAAATCCAAAATTCGTATTAACAGACAATTATCATATCACATGCAAGTAAATTACGCTAGTTAATATGAATTATTGATAGTTTGATTAAGAACAAAACACTTGCATGTTGGAAAATATACTAAATGCCTTTCATCTTCGATCTAGAACGCCAACAAAAGAATAATTTCCATTCAACTTGTCATACTTAAAGGATTCCGTCAGGCGTATCAGCACATGCTCTGTTGTTCAGGAATATGTGATATTTTGTTACACTTCGCAATACTTCTATTCTAACTACATAGGCATCGACAAATCAGTCCTATTTGTTTAAGAAATAATTCCAAGTCATTTTTTTTATTAACGAAATGGAATAGTTTTGCAGTGTAGGCAAATTTTGTTTGAGCTAAATATAATCAAGATGCTTCTAGTTACAAAAGAAGATGACACGTATTTAATACGGCAATGATTAAAATAAATGAACTCATTTCTAACACATGCTAAACGATTCAAATTGTGAAGACTAAGTTTGTTTAAATTGTAGTTATGAGTTAAAATGTATTTTAACTTATGTTTAAATTACGGAGTTTCTATAATTTTTGTTTAAAGTTGACAGCTAGTATGATACTTAATCAGATCATTTATATAAAATTATATCCTCATTTTTGACAGGTTATGTAAAGATTACACCTGGATTATCAACATATCAATACGCATGAACGTACTTTTTAATTACAGTTGTGAATGGTGGTGAATATTGTACATACCTGCTACCTATAACCTTTAACAGATCGTAGGTAGACAATACCCGACATACTGCTCTGCAAACCATGTTTTCATCTTTGCCGAATACCCGACGAAAAATTAATTTAATAGCATATGTGATATTAATAGCCAGCAGACGAGATGACCAACGCGACAGCTGTTTACAGTTATATTCAGTAGACCCTGATGACTAACGTGACAACTAGTTACAGTTATAATTAGCAGACGAGATGACCAACATAACAAGTAGGTACAGTTTTAACCAGGAGATGAGATGACCAACGTGACAACTAGTCACAATAATATTCAGCAGACGAGATGACCAACGTGACAACTAGTTACAGTTATAATTAGTAGACGAGATGACCAACATAACAAGTAGGTACAGTTTTAGCCAGGAGACGAGATGACCAACGCGGCAACTAGTCACAGAGCTATTCAGGAGACGAGATGACCAACGTGACAGCTAGTAAAGTGGTAGTAAGGAGACGAGATAACTAACGTGACAACTAGTTACAATTAGAGCCAGGAGACGAGATTACTAACGTGACAACTATTTACAGTTATAGTCAGGAGACGAGATGACCAACGTGACAACTATTTACGCTTTAAGTCAGGAGACGAGATGGCCAACGTGACAACTATTTACACTTAAAGTCAGGAGACGAGATGGCCAACGTGACAACTATTTACAGTTAAAGTCAGGAGACGAGATGGCCAACGTGACAACTAGTTACAATTAGAGCCAGGAAACGAGATGACCAACGTTACAACTAGTTACAATTAGAGCCAGGAGACGAGATGACCAACGTTACAACTAGTTACAGTTATAAAAAGCAAACGAGATGACAAACGCGACAACTTCTTAAATTTATAGTTAAAAGACAAATAACCAACTTGACAACTAGTCACAGCTATATTCAGGAGACGAGATGACCATCGTGCCAACTAGTCACAGCTATATTCAGGAGACGAGATGACCAACATGACAACTATTTACAGTTATAGTCAGGAGACGAGATTACTAACGTGACAACTATTTACAGTTATAGTCAGGAGACGAGATGACCAACGTGACAACTATTTACGCTTTAAATCAGGAGACGAGATGGCCAACGTGACAACTAGTTACAGTTATAACACGCAGACGAGATGACCAAGCTGACAACTAGTTATAGTTATAGTTAGGAAACAGGAGACGAGATATCCATCGTGACAAAGAGTGGCAGTTATAGTAAGAAGACAAGATGACCAAGCTGACAACTAGTAATAGTTATAGTTAGGAAACAGGAGACGAGATGGCCAACGTGACAACTAGTTATAGCTATAGTTAGGAAACAGGAGACGACATATCCAATGTGACAACTACTTACTGTTAGAGTCGTAATGGTGCCATACGTCCATGAATTGGTTGGCTGTAATCTGCTTAAACTCTCTGGTAGTCAAATCCCGAAATTGTCGCAAGAAATTTCCGTCGGTGGTCCCTGCCATGCTGTACGTATATTTCCAAAATATACACAATCCTTTTGAACAAAAGCGTGAAAGAGAAAATTCAAAATCAGTATTTCCTACTTGATTCGATCTTAAGCCAGTTTTATGGAGAAGTGTTGAGGTGACACACCCAGTAATGTTACGAGTGGAAAACTGCTAAGGATCACATGGACACAAGTTGCTGAAACAGAATTCAATAATGTTCGCGCAGGCGCAGAAATGTAATCCGCGTAACAGGTGTATGTATCGAATTCAGATACATAGACATGAGGAATATGTACATATGCAAAAGTTTGTGGCCGCTGAACAATAACGCACTTTTTTATAGCCTAGAATCGAATGTTTCACAGGCGTGATAACAAAGCGCACGTGATCTCTATCTGAAAGCTCTAGAGACGACACCAAGTGATACCCTACTGTGGTGGTAATCCTTTCATTCAACACATGGCCAGCAGATGATTGCTATAGTATTGAGATGATAAATTTACGGTATTGAATTTTTGTCTCCAAAGCGTGATGCTGACTACGATGTACCTAGCGCTGGCTAGTCGGCAGAGCTCTTCACTCGTATGATGGCGTGCTCGGGTAATTACCTTGCGTTTTCATCTTTCGATTTTTAAGAAATAGTTAGTTCATAAACAGTCTATTTATGCAAGTGAATAAGAGCTGTATGTGCTACTTAAACCCAGATATCGCTCTGGTGGCGTGGCGTTGATGAATCAATACAAAAACAAATGCTTCTGTTGCATTGCCGTCTGCAACTTTACCTGTACGTAATTACTCCTACATGTCATTATGTGATTACCAACAAATGTTTGTTTTGTAATATTTCCTTAAACTACTTTTTATATATCAAATATTTAATATAAAAGCTTGGTATACACATATTGAGCATGCATTGTGTGCTTTTCCTTGGTTCGTATTCCTCGTGACAGGGCTAAGCATCGACGGGCTATTTTTTAAAATCAAAAGTGTCAATATTTCAAAACTTGTAAGGTTAACGGTCGGTAATAGAGTAAAGATGATAGACATAGACAGACTACTAGATTTCCTATATTTTGTAATTCTTTTGTTGAGTTAAGCTGTTGGAGTGCCCATTTGTATTCTTTGGTCAGTTTCTCACGTTTGATTGATTTCACATTTTTGTTGAAGTTACATTGTTGTTGCTTTTCACAATTATGGTTTTAAAAAAGCGAAATGAAATATATTTGTATAGTTATGTTCATTAAATATTCAATGGAATTGTTCACTTTTACTGTGTTGGGTGTAAGCGTTATATGATATAGAAACATGAGATCAAGGCAGTTAACTACAGCATGTTGGTGCAGGGGTCGGTGACTGTTATCGCTGTATCGGTTAGTTGTTGATGTTGGTGCTTTTGTTATTGTAACTAATTATTTTGTTTTCATTGTGATGCTAATATTTTCAGTGCCATTATTTTGTTTGTAACTGTAGGTGGTATACAGCCGGTGGTGTCTTGTTTAAAGGGATGGGGCTGTCGTATTATAGCTATTTTTGATGTTAATAGTGTTTGGATTGACGCAAATGTTGGTAGAATTGTCGGCTTTGGTCCAATTGTGGTATAGTTATAGTGCTATTGGTCCTATTGTGGTATAATTATAATGCTATTGGTCCTATTGTGGTATAGTTATAGTGCTATTGGTCATATTGTAGTATAGATATAGTGCTGTTGGTCCTTTATTGGTATAGTTATAGTGCTATTGGTCCTGTAGTGGTATAATTATAGTACTATTGGTCCTATTGTGGTATAGTTATAGTGCTGTTGGTCCTACAGAGGTATAGTTATAGGGGTATTGGTCCTATAGTGGTGTAGTTTTAGTGCTATTGGTCCTATTGTGGTATAGTTATAGTGATATTGGTCCTATTGTGGTATAGTTATAGTGCTATTGGTCCTATTGTGGTATAGTTATAGTGCTATTGGTCATATTGTAGTATAGATAAAGTGCTGTTGGTCCTATCTTGGTATAGTAATAGTGCTATTGATCCTATTGTGGTATAGATATAGTGCTATTGGTCCTATTGTAGTATAGTTATGGTGCTCTTGGTCCTATATGTGTATAGTTATAGTGATATTTTCCTATAGTGGTGTAGTTATAGTGCTATTGGTCCTATTGTTGTATAGTTATAGTGCTATTGGTTCTATTGTGGTATAGTTATAGTGATATTTTGCCTATAGTGGTGTAGTTATAGTGCTTATGGTCCTATAGTGGTATAGTTATAGTGCTATTGGTCCTATTGGGTATAGTTATAGTGCTATTGGTCCTATTGTGGTATGGTTATAGTGCTATTGGTCCTATTGTGTATAGTTATAGTGCTATTGGTCCTATTGGGTATAGTTATAGTGCTATTGGTCCTATATTTGTATAGTTTTAGTGCTATTGTTCCTATATTTGTATAGTTTTAGTGCTATTGGTCCTATAGTGGTATGGTTATAGTGCTATTGGTCCTATTGTTGTGTAGTTATAGTGCAATTGGTTCTATTGTGGTATAGTTATAGTGATATTGGTCCTTTTGTGCTATAGTTATAGTGATATTGGTCATATTGTAGTATATATATAGTGCTGATGGTCCTATATTGGTATAGTTATATTGCGATTGGTCATATTGTGGTATAGTTATAGTGCTATTGGTCCTATTGTGGTATAGTTATAGTACTATTGGTCCTATTGTGGTATACTTATAGTGATATTGGTCCTATTGGGGTATACTTATAGTGATATTGGACATTGTAGTATAGTTATAGTGTTATAGGTCTTATAGTGGTATGGTTATAGTGCTATTGGTCCTATGGTTGTATACTAATATTGCTATTGGTGCTATTGTAGTATAGTTATGGTGCTATTGGTCCTACATAGGTATAGTTATAGTGATATTTTGCCTATAGTTGTGTAGTTATAGTGCTAATGGTCCTATAGTGGTATAGTTATAGTGCTATTGGTCCTATTGTGGTATAGTTATAGTGCTATTGGTCCTATTGTGGTATAGTTATAGTGCCATTGTTCCTATATTTGTATAGTTTTAGTGCTTTTGGTCCTATTTGGTTTAGTGATAGTGCTATTCGTCCTATTGTTGTGTAGTTATAGTGCTATTGGTCCTATTGTAGTATAGTTATTGGGCTATTGGTCCTATATTGGTATGGTTATAGTGCTATTGGTCCTATTGTTGTGTAGTTATAGTGCTATTGATTCTATTGTGGTATAGGTCCAGTGCTATTGGCTATATTGTGGTATAATTATAGAGATATAGGTCCTATAGTGGTATAGTTATTGAGCTATAAGTCCTATTGTTATATAGTTATAGTGCTTTGTTCCTATAGTGGTATAGATATAGTGATATAGGTCCTATTGTGGTATACATATAGTGCTATTGGTCCTATAGTTGTATAATAATAGTGCTATTGGTGCTATTGTAGTATAGTTATGGTGCTATTGGTCCTACATAGGTATAGTTGTAGTGCTATTTTGCCTATAGTGGTGTAGTTATAGTGCTAATGGTGCTATTGTGGTATCGTATAATGCTATTGGTCCTATTATGGTATAGTTAAAGTGCTATTGGTCATATTGTAGTATAGATATAGTGCTGTTGGTCCTATATTGATATTGTTATAGTGCTATTGGTCCTATAGTGGTATAATTATAGTACTATTGGTCCTATTGTGGTATAGTTATAGTGCTATTGGTCCTATTATAGTATAGTTATGGTGCTATTGGTCCTACAGAAGTATAGTTATATTGCTATTGGTCCTATATCAGTATAGTTATTGAGTTTTTGGTCCTTTTGTGGTATAGTTATTGTGATATTGGTCCTATAGTGGTATAGCTATAGTGCTATGGTCCTATTATAGTGTATTTATATTTCTATTGGTTCTATTGTGGTAAAGTTCTAGTGCTATTGGTCCTATTGTGGTATAATTATAGTTATATAGGTCCTTTAGTGGTATAGTTATAGTGCTATTGGTACTATTGTGGTATAGTTATAGTGCTATTGGTCATATTGTGGTATATTTATAGTACTATTGGTCCTATTGTGGTATACTTATAGTGCTATTGATCCTATTGTGATATAGTTATAGTGCTATTGGTCCTATTGTGGTATAGTTATAGTGCTATTGGTCCTATTGGGGTATAGTTATAGCGCTATTGGTTCTGTAGTCGCTGCTATCGATGACGATAGTTAGGGTCACAGTTGTTTATTTTAGATATACTTTGACAAGTACCGGAGGTGTTACATTAACAACGTTAGTTAACACTGTGGAGTGGTTGGTTAAAATGCACCACGAGGAATCAATAATTCGATTATGTCAACTTTGTATTGAGTTTAAATGCAACGTACACGTATACAGGTTATGATGTTATTGCAAGTGTTGTGCCTTCGTTATTATTTACCGCCCCCACTGAATCGACATTCCGGTCAATAGGACTGTGAAAGGCATCAACATTGTGAAAATGAACCGTAATCATGTTTTGAAATATGGCTCTACTGTGTAATAAATAATTTTGCAGCCATAAGAAAAATAAGACATATACCTTTATTATATAGGTAAATTTTGATTACCTCGACATTAGTATCTACTAATGTTTGAAATGCCTGTTGCGTTTATAGGTTTACCAATTAAGTGTACATCATACCTGCTAACATTCCTAATGTACAGGTAAATCGAACTCGTATTAACGTTAACAACTTAGGTACATGTAAGTATATGTAAACAATATAGAATGTACTAGAATTAAGCACTCGAGAAAATATAAACAAGAACAAATCCTTGTGGGCATTATTCTTGAAAGCACTGTGAGTAGGCAAAGTCGTTTTTAACGTTCCCTACGCCGTCCTTAAATAACCATAGCTGTTGATAGGATGTTAAACAATACTAAACCAAACCAAACGTTCCATACGCATGTTGGAATTACATAATTTCCCAACATTACATGGTCAGGTATCATATTAATATGCAAGATGCAACTTTGTATCAGAGACTTCAGCTGGTAAAACATTACCTATGTTATACTAAAGTATTGTGGAAGGTACGTGGAGTTTACAGCGTACCTTCTCTACTATTAACTGAGACAATCAATGACACAAGGCGAGAGCTGTGTTTCCAGTGCGAGTGTACACCGGCTGTCACAGTATTGTATCGATTTTTACATTATACCTCTTTGTCGTGTTCACACACATTGAAACACAATATCATCTCCCCGACACTCGGAACACGAAAGGAAACAACCTCTCATTGACATCATGACCACCAAAACAAACCCTAAATATTCTAAATGCCTTTCTTACCACGAAACAAAACACCTCCAAATGATAATCTCACCACGAAACAAAACACTCTCCCATTGACGTTCTGACAAAAAAACAAAACACTCTCTCAGTAACATTCTTACCACGAAACAAAACACCCTCTCAAGGACATTCTGACCACGAAAAAAAACACCCATTCTCTCTCTGACATTCTGACTACAAAACAAAATTGCATCTCCCTGACCTTCTAACCACGATATAAAACCCCTCGCATTGACATTTTGACCATAAACAAACTACAGCTCACTGACATTCTGACCAA